GCAGTGCACAGACGTCTGTGTGAGCCAGTAAACTGTATCTGGACTCTTTGTTTTGGTTCCCACCCTCCACCTGAGATGGTTCCTTCTCTAACCTGGAACCGGATCCCGGTCCTGAACAGAAAGCTGATTCTGGTTGGTTCTGTGTCTTTCTAGAGGTTCTGTATGAGGATCTCCAGTACCTGTCAGTCACCGCCATAGCACTGATGTTTGTGGCCGGTCTGCTCATGCTGACCATGTGGCTGCTGCACAAAGCCTGCAGGAGGATAAAGGCCTGGAGACGCAGGAAGCAGATGCCAGGTGAGTCCACAGAACTAAAGCACCCGACCAGAACCACCAGTCCAGTCCAACATGCAGATTATTGATGAGATGCATGAGGCAGTCAGACAGGAAGTCTGTTACATGCAGCCTTTATCATCAGGCGGTCTATAAAGGGTCATCTTAAAGGCTAAAGGTCAAGGACTCATCAGGCATTACATTATAACCAGTTGAGATAAACTCAGTCATGGACCCTGTTGCCGTCTGCAGAACATTTCACCTCAGCCTTCTGAGAAGTTGAGCTGACTCGGTCAGAGCCAATTAGAAAAGACTTGTGATTCTACATGTGCACCTGCTGAGATCCTGGCGCCAAACCCCACAGCACATCTTCAGAGGACTAACATAGTCCAAGCTTTGACGGGTCAGCAGCCAGAAGGAAGGCTGACTGACTGTCAGAGCAGGTGGTCACAATGTTATGCCTGATTTGTGCATTTATTTAGCATTTAGAATTTTCTGGATCTTGCACAGCACCAAAACCTACAAAGTGTTGCTTTTCCCACAGTATCAGGTTTGATTCATCTTTGGATCACGTCCCTCAGGGTCGACGTTAGAACCAGAGATGCACTGATGTTACAATTTGGGCTGAGATCGAACAACCTGATACCAATATTTAGCTGCATTGTATCCTATATGCTTTCCTACCTGTTTGACACCATGAGAAAAACTGATGTAAGTGCTCCCTAGGGTTGCCAACCGAAAAACGGAATTTATTTAGAAATAGAAGTGCTTGTCCCACAGAGATGAAAAAACAAATTGGAGAAAATGTTTAAAAAAAGAGGAGAGGAATTCGGCTTGATGTGTTTGATTAATGCGCAGGTTTATATGAAGTCTGATATGGCAGGCTATTTTGACATTTATTGAAAGCACTCTCCTCTCTGCTGTTCCATATGTAGATCATTAAAATAAGATTCTTCCTGATCAAAATCACACTCCTGGACCAAACTGTAATAACAGATTTATGAATTACATTTTTGCAGCAGAAACCAAATTTCAGAAAGTTAAACAAAAATAAATAAAAAATTGTAATAATAAGAATTAGGTTTTATATACCTACACATGTTTACACATTTTAAGTGGCCCTTAGGGCACCTATCAGCTTAAACGAATATATTTATGAGATCTGAAATACATTTCTTCCTCAAAGTAAGGAAGCTTTCTCAATTCAAATGTGTGGATCTGCAGTGAGTTGAGCCTTATATGGACCAGGCCTTGCATTGCTTGCAAAGTAAATCAAGTAATACAAGTTATGAAGTTCATTTCTAATCATCCAGAATGTTTCATTTAGGAAAAATTTCATTTTGTTTGAAATGCTCATTTTGACATCAGCCATCAGAAAAACAGCCCTGTGATGGAGGGGCATGAAGTGCCTGGTTGAAGCGTTTTTTTTTCTTCTTTTTTTTTTTTCTCTTCTCTTTCCGGGGGGGGGGGGGGGGGGGGGCGGTTCTGGTTGGGTGGCCGGCGCGGGATGAGTGGGCCCCGGTCCCGGGGGGGGCTCTTGCTGGGGGTGGTCCGGTCCGTGGGGGGCCGGGCTTGAAGCAGGAAAGAGATGGGTTGGTGTGGCGGTGTCGCCGCTCCCCTCCCCTCACATCCGGATTTTAGGTTCACTTATGGGGTCATCCGATAGTCCCGGGACCAACCACCGGTGTCACCGGGTTTTTGGTCCTGGTATTATTGGATGTGAGTGTTATGTGTGAACGTGTGTCCGCGTTGTTATTTTCTTTCTTTATTATTATTATTATTATTTTATTACATTTTTTATTTTTAATTTTTTTTTTTTTTTCTGTGGTACGAGTGGGGGCACTAGGGAGGGAAGGCATGATTGAGATGGTGTGTTTTTTTTTGTTTTTTTTTCTCCCAGGTTGGGGTCTCAACCGCACCCTCTCCCAAATACATCTCAAGTCTCCGCTAAGTGCGGAGCCCATTCCCCCCGTCCTGCTCTGCCTCCTCTGGCTGGCGTCGGGGCTCACCGGTGCACTGGTGGAGCTCGGGGTCTGGGGGTGGATGCCCGGGGGACTGCTGGCTCATTCCTGGCGGCCTCTCCGCTGGCCCCGGCCGGCCGGGGCTTTGCTGGGGCTCCTGTCTGGGGATCGGGTGCCCTTGGGGCCTCGGATCCCTGGGGCCTGGGACTGGATCCGCTTCGGGGTGGGGCTGGCTGTTGTTCGGGGATTTTCGGGGTCGGTGCCGGTGCCTTCGCTACGATGCTGGTTCCTGGGCGGTGTTTCTTTCCTATGCCGGTTCTGTGGTATGGGGGGGGGGGGGGGGGGGGGGGGCTCCGGTTTTTCCGCTCGAACTTCTCCTCTTGCATATTTATTTTAATTGTAATTATTAATTAATTTATTTATTTACCTATTTATTTATTTATTTTTTCTCGGTGGGGGGGAGCGGTTGCGGGCGGGTCGGTGTCTGGTGTCCGCTGTCGCATTGTGGGGGCTCCTTTTTTTTTTTTTGGGGGGGGGGGGTTTGGCATGTCTGTTTTCTCGGGGGGCGGGCGGGCCTGCTGGGTGGGGGTCCTGCTGGCGGCGCGCCGCTGGTGTGTGGGGGTCCGGGCGGCTCTGGCGGGGGTGGTGTTGGGGGGCCGGTGTGGGCGGGCTGGCTGCGCTGGCTGGGTATTCGGGTGGGTTTTCCCTCTTGGAGGCATGGCGGAGCTGCTCTGTTCCCGCTGATCGCGGCGGGTGGGGCTGCGGGGCGGGTGGGGGCTTGGAGTGGCTATGGCCGGCGCGTGTTGGGGGGCCGGGGCGGCGGAGCTGCTCTGGCCGCGTGTCAGGGCCTGGTGCGGGCGGCGGACGTGGCTGTGCTGCAATGGCTTCGTCCGGTGGGGAGCGGCGTGGTTCGCTCCGCTCTGGCTTTGTGCTGCCCCTCGGGCTGCTGGGGGGGGGGGGGGGGGTTGCGCCGGCTGCAGTCTGCTTTTCTTGCGGTTTTGCGCCGGGCCGCTTTTATGCTCTCGGGCTGATTATGTGCGCGGGGTGTTTCGTTGCGCGCTGTTGGCATCGGTCTTGGTGGGGTGGGGCTGCGCTTTTGGCCGGGGGGGCGTTTTGGGGGGGTCCCGCGGCGCTCGCGGTTCGGGCAGAGACGCCCCGGCCGTGGCCGCCTGAGTGTTTTTCCTGGGTGGTGCGGTCGCGGTGGGTGTTGCGGCCGGTCGCCGGGGCTTGGTGCCGGGGCGTGTTTCGGTGCTCTGTGGGGCTGGGGCGTTTCGGTCGGTGCCGTGGGGGGGCTGGGGTTCGGTGCCCGGCCCTACTTCAGGGTGGCCGGCTGCCGGCGGGGCCCGCGGACTCGTCCCCGCGGCTCCCCGGGGCGCCGCCATGGCGGTGGCTGGGGGGCTTCTTCGTGGCTGTCTCTCCTCCTACCTTGGTGGGGTCTGGTTTCCGGGGCTGGCCCCGCCTTGGTGCCTTCGCTTCTGGGGTCCCCTTGGGCGCCTGGGGCTTTGGGTCTCCCGCTGGACTCAGTGCTCTGGGGGGTGCGCCTCTCCGGCTCTCCACAACCACTATTGAGCATTTTTTCTATGGTTAAAACTTTACATGCACAAGTTCACCCTCACAAACAACTACAGGTGCTAGGCTTCAGGTACTTAGAGATTCACTTCCAAACAGAAACCCCACATTCATATCTTCAGGTAACACAGAGTACATGTCAGACTTAATAATATTACTTTAGCGATAGTTTCAAGGTGTTTGCTTTATTGTATATCTCGTACCATGTCTTTTGGTTGTGCTGTTCTTTTTTTTTCATCTCATTGCAGGTGATGAAGCAGACTGAAAAAAAAAAAAAAAAAAGAAAGAAAAACAGCCCTGTGATAGACGGGGTGTGCAGCCCGCCCCTCGCCTGCCAGATAAGCATGGGCCCCAACACGACTGCACCTGAAATAAGTTTATTTTTTCACTGCTAATTTGAGTTACCTCCTTAAACTGAGGGAAAATGCAATTAATTTTTTTATAGTGTAATTTCTGCATGGATGAAGTCTCTAAATAACTAAAGCTGGTAGAGATTTAACTGGATCTCAAATGAATTTACTGATAACTGACTGAGGGTGAATAGAATACAAATACCTGCTGCACTCTTCAGTAAAATAAAAACCCGTCATGCATCACTTTCCTTTCATTTCACGATAACCCTCTTAGTGTTGGCCTTTCAAATGAAGTCCCAATAAAAAACATTTTAATCTGATTTTCAGTGAGTTTCTCTCCCACCTCTTTGTTCATGATGGAGTATTAGAACAGATTCAAATGTTGACTTGACGTCAGAGGTTTTATGCTCTGGCGTGTTATGCTTCAAAGGTCAGAGAAGTTCTTGCTTATTCCGGATGTTGTTTTTTTATTTGTCTTTGTCTGCAGAAAATGATGCAACAGAGCTGCAGCCTCTTTGAAGAAGTGAACAAACCCTGCTGAGAGCCTCCGTCCTGCAACACAAACCGCCTGCATTTAAGCCTGGACACTTGTGTGCAAACGTTAGCCATGCACAGATTTTAACTGAAACTACTGAAAGCTGCATAAAAAAGAAGAAAAAAAAAACTGCATCATGTTTACATTATGAACTGAATGCGTTTGTGTGGATGGCTCTGGGACCATGTAGATACAGCCACCATGACAGTGGAAGAACAATACAGCCCTTTTATTTATTGTAAAATTAAAAACAAATGTGTGACTAACTCAGCTGTAGTGACTTTAAGTTTCACTTTTGATAACATAAAAAATATATAACAAAATATTGAGATGTGAGAGCGGATCTGAATGGGAGGGTTCTTGCTTGTAACATGCAGAGGTTTGTGTTTGGAAGCTGATCTCCCTGCAGGTAGAAATCAGTTTAAAAGTCAGTAAACAAATAGGCTGCATCAGGACTCGGCAACCTGTTCGCCTTTCATTCAAATCTGTCAAAAAGCCGATTCCTCTGTGCAGGAGGGCTGCTGTTTCACTCCACGGTGCTTTAACTGGAGTTGGTGTGTGGGAGGGAGACACATCGGCGTTCCGGTCGACGACACGCAGTCCGAACCCGATCTAAGGACATGGCGTCAGCGCAGCCATCAGCAGCTCCATCTTGTAGACGAAGTTGCGTCCCTCCATCTTGCTCCAGTTCACCTCCTTGTACGGCCCCCTGAGCTGACTCCACTTGGTGTCCTGGACCACGTCGCTCTTGGGCAGGTCTTTGATCTGGCTGCGGGGGAACTGGACCAGAACCTTACAGCCGCTCTCTGGGCCGTTACGCACTGAAAGACACAGAGGTTTAGGCTTCATTTCAGACAGTTTAAAGCAGCTCAGGCTTAGTTTGGTTAATAGACATCAAGCATTTGCAGGGAGCCGCCTGAACGCCGCCTCAGCTTGCATCGACCTGCCCTCTGATCTGACTCCTCCCTCTCCAGACCTCCTCGCCTGCCTTCATTCAGGATGCAAACATTTCTCTGAGCATTTCTGGTTGCTGTGAACCAGCTTTACCCTGCAGGGCGTTGATGCTTCTCCTGATGCTAAAAACAAATCTAATTTTTCCTGATTACTTTATGATCAAATTAAATCCATGTCTAGTTCTAATTATGGAAAGAAGCAATCAAAGAGTTTATCTTCTAATGTCTGATAATTCAGGGATTATTTTTCTGTTTTTTGTCCAAACATTTAGATCATTCATATCATCCCCCAGTGAAGGGCTAACCAATTAATAATCAGCGGGGTCTGAATAAAGAAAATCATCAACCAGTTAAGGACCAGAGACATTTTTAATTATTTAATTACTTTAAACAGAATTTAAGACTGAAATAAAATGAGTTTTTTATGCATCCATGTTATACATTGAATTTTTGAATAAAAAATATAATTTTTTTCCTTTTTTAAAATCTAAATTGTTTTGAAGTAGAGAACAACAATCTTTTAGTTTGGTATATAGACAATTTCCTCACTCACTTTTTTAATGAAACCTGAACTGTTTTTTTTTAACCCTTTTTTCTGGCTTAATGAGAGCAGTGGGCTTTATGCTGCCCTGCAAGGCTTTAAACCTGGGTTTGAATGGAGACAAAGTCATTCTAAAGCACATATTAAGGTGATCATTTTGAGCCTGGATCCATATTTATTTCTGATTCTGTTCATGGTGGAGAATCCTGCTCCACAGCAGCAGGTTGATCCAAACATACTCTAAATGTGCAGGGTCATCTTTGAGCACCATTTCACTTTTCTTTCACCAGTTCACCACAGTTCTTCCAGCAGTCCACACTTTCTTTGCTCTTTTTCTCATCATCTTCTCCTTCTTTCCCATCGCCCTGCTTGCCACAGGTTTGCCTGCTGTGTCTAAAAGTGGCTCACTGCAGTGATCCAGACTGACACAGCATATTGGCTAATTTGTATCACATGTAGCCTGGTGCCAGCTCTTCTTGAGGACTTTTCCATATTAACAGGAGAAGCGGCGCAAGTGAAGTTAGACACTGCTGTCGGACAACATGCGGTAATTTATAAATGTTTTACATCAGGTTGGGTCCAGATTAGCCAGCAGGTGGGCCTGGATCCGGACCCTGATCCACTAATCTGTGACCTCTGCCCAAGAAGTTCAGCAGATAAACAACAGATGCCACCTAGTGTCTAAAAAGGGGAAAGCAGTCGTTGCAAAGGTTCTAATGAAGCATCAGATTCTCACTTCCTCCCTAATAATAAACGCCACTATTCTCTGTCCTTCCAGTTGGCTTTCCTTTTCCCTGCTCCACATTTTAATGGTTTTTAGATTTCCTCCAGAAGAACAGGTTATATATATATATATATATATATATTGTCTTTTACATACACACATTTTCTAATTATGCAAATGTCTTTTTTAAATTATTCAATTACATTTTTTTTATTAAGTAATCTGATTAAATTATATTTCAATATCTGATAATCCAGATTTTCTACACTTAAATAGTTTATTTTTTTGCCTCCTGTGCAAGACCAACATGAAATGATACAAACTGCTGCTGTCTTTGTCTAAATAAAGTCACATCTGATTGGTTAACCTGCTTACTTTTTCTTTAAGAGATTCATGTTGTCAAGCAAAGAAGTTGAAAAATATGTAATAAAATAATTGATAAACATGAAAAGTTTACTTGTTATATAATCCGTGAGAAATACTAATTTCTTTGTTGCATCTCCTGTTTTATACAAAAAAAATCTTCCAATCTCAGTTATGGGAGTTTCCATTTTATTGAATTATGGCCCTGTTGGCTTGCCGTAGATGCCGTAACCTATATATCGTAGATGCCGCTCCTTATATCCTTTAGCAGCTATGGTTCTACAGCGGTGTCACCTACAGGCCAGAACCTTCTATGGAGGTCACCAAACTGCCGCTATAAGTTCTACAAACACATCCAAACATTCTTGGTTCTGATTAGGGGTGTAAATCACAGCCATCATGGCGATTCGATTCAGTATCGATTTCCTGACCCAACGATTCGATTATTTTCGATACTCAAGAATACACCACGATACGATTCGGTTCGATTATTTGGTAAATTTTTTATTTTTTTTTTGTCTCACACCTTACAGGCTAGACTATATTTCAAATTTGAAATAAATCAATGAAAGCTGTAATATCGTTATGCATTTTTTTTTTATAGAAACAACAGCAAATAACAGAAGTAGCTTTCTTCGGCCGTATCTAGACCCACAGTGTGTAGCACAGACCACGCTTCAATATTGAGCATAAATCAAAAATGTCTGCGTCAAGCTTACTGCAACACAATGCTGTAAGAATATAAACAGGAAGCGAGGTAGGAGGACAAAATAGGTTTAGCGCCACCGCAGCACGGGAGGGAGAATTACGCCCAGGAGAAAATGGATAAAAATAGACCGGAGGGAAAAAAAAAACATGAATCGATTCTCTTGCGGACGTGTCGATGCATCGGATCGTCGGCTGTTGGATCGATGCATCGATACAAAACGATTATTATTTACACCCCTAGTTCTGATCATGACTTGTGGACCTGAACATAAGCTGTATAGATGTCAGCATCGCAGGACGCAGATGAGAGAGATCCCTCTGTAATCTAAGTTGAAGGTAAGCTACATGTGGACCGTTTCTTTGTGTCAAAGTGATGCGGACAGAAAGAGGATGGAATTAGAGTTCTGAGTGATTTCTGTTTAAAGTCTCACCTGAGATGGCGTACTCTCCGTTGGGTGAAGCGACGGTGATGGCCGAGGCGTTCCCGATGCTCTCCACTGGGCCCAGTCCCACATGGTTACTGAAACTCAGCACATGCCAGCCCATGACTTTAGCCAGCTGCTGCACGGCGTGGACCTGATGCTGCGACATCTGAAACGAGGCGCCGTGTAAGACGCTGGGATCCAAACTCCAAACTCCGGAAACAAAGAAAGGAGGTATACCTGTGAGAGGAGAAAGTCCTGCAGCTCCTGCTCCTGGTGGGACAGCGTGACGACTCGTCCGTCCCTGTGCACCACCCTGATCTGCTCCACACCGATGTTGAGCTGCAGCTGGATGGATCTAAACACAGAAAGGATGGTTATATGGGAGACGTGACGGACCAAGCACAGGACGCCTCCCCAGCTGGTCCACTCACTTGCAGATCTGCTCATAACCATGAGAGGTGATGAGCACCTTGACGCTGGACTCATAAACGTCGTTGATGTTGGACCAGTGAGCCTGGATCTGAGGGTCTTCGATCCGGCTGGCTAAGCTGTCGATGGTCCGGGCCGTCCTGCGTGGGAAAACACACAGTTAGCCGCTAACTTCCCCGCCTGCTGGTCGATGTTCGTACAGCAGAATAGTTCTTTCTGATCAAAGATCTCTTTCTGATGCCGCTACCTGCTACGGAGGAAGATGTGTTTGGCCTGTTTGATGATCTTCTCCAGCAGCCCCTCGTTCTGCTGCAGGTTGGCGATTTCCGCCTTATCGTAGGCCATCGGACCGGCCAGGCGCAGCCGCTTGTGGCCGAACGGGGCGCTGGCCGGATGAGGCATGACCACCGAGCTCAGCTGCTGCTTGTGGAACTGAAACGGGAAACCGGCTATGATTGTAAATATCGAAATCATTTGTTTGGGGAAGCGGTGTGTTCACGTTCGGCTGGGTCCGACGGAAACTAGCGAAGGCCGTTTGCCGTCTCACCTCTCTCATCATCTGATGCAGATTGTGTTCCAGTACGTGAAGATGGTCGTCTGGTTTGGGTTTCTCTGGAGAGGCTCGGTTGCTCTTCTTCTCTCCAGTTGAGTGGCACAGTGAGATGGAGAGCTGAAGGCCTGAGAGATTAAAGATAATGGGACAAAAAAAACAAGCAGATTGAGTTTATCCACCTCTTTGGTGAGACCGGGTTACCATATAATATCTGGTTATTTATGATGTCTTATAATATAAAGGAGGATCTGCCACACTGAAAAGGCGCACACACCTCCGCATTGTGCATATGGCCTGCTAGACCATGCAATCTGAATTTTAAACACAGAATGTGTTATTTATGCTGCTTTATTTATGCTTCTGTGTTTTATCTACGCTGCTGATTAACAGATGATGCTGAAACTGTCAGTAGAGGTGCAGAAAGCAGCCATACTTTTATGGGAATTCTGAGGAATATAAGCAAACATCTAAATGTAATGTGATAGTGATTATAGGAGTGCTGGGTGATCAATAAAATAGCTGGGATTATCTTATTTGATGTTACTCTATGAGAAGCAGCCTCCTCCACTCATGTTGTCCCCGCCTGATGTCCTCAGCAGTCTCACCTGGGAAAGGCTGGGAGATAATCTGGTTCTTCACAACAATGTGGGGAATCTGCGATTTAATCTGAACCGCTTCTCTGGAAAGCTGCGCGAAGATCTCCTTACAGAGCAAAACGTTCTGAGCCGCCTCCAGCTTGATGTGCCACGGCTGCGCTCCTGAAGACGACGAAGGAGGCGGGCGTCAAAAAAAGGCAGAAATACATTTTTATTTGTTTTTTTTTAGGAGCTGCTTGAAGAACCAGACCTGCTTTGTTTTTCTGAGGTCTCCTAAACAGGTTTACGGTTCCAAGGTCACCGATGTCTGGTGCTTGTTTCTGGATGGACACCTGAAGACAAACGTCGGCTTTTCTTTATTTCATTTCCAACGATATTCACCATTTAAAATCCAATCATACTGGAGGATCAGAACAAACCTTGATATAAGCAGATCCTTCTAGGTCACTTGGAATCTGGACATCCAAGGGACAGTAGTCCTCTGGGAGCTTTTTGTCCAGATCAATGTCAGTGTTTTTGATCACCTCGAATGTGCCGGGGTGAGGAAAAAGGGAACCTGCATGATTTCATTACATGGTAGAAAATTAACAAAAATTTTTGCTCTAAGTGAATTAAGTACAGTAATGTTTCTGAACTTTTCCTCACCTGCACTCCGGTAACTGAGGTCTCCCAGGATCTTGTCTCCGACTTTGCGAAGTTTCCACTGAGATCGGAGTCGCAGCAGCTCAGAGTTGAAGTCGCGCTGCCTCTGGTTCTCCTGGTTCTCGGCCACCGACTTGCTGAGCTTCTCGGCTCCTTTCAGGAGGAGCTGTGCCGCTGTGGCCAGCGATTTCTTTTTGCTGATCAGCTGGAACACCTGCTGCGTCTGCGGGTGGAACATCAGAGGAAACCAGTGAGAAACCTGAAGCTTTTATAGTACTCAGAGGAATCAGATCTGGACCGGAACACAGGCTGTGCTGAAAGCGATACTCTTAGCTGCCGAGTATCAATAAGGTGCTTAAAGAGAAGTTAGAGAAAATAATGAGGTAAATGGAAACTGTGTTTTTCATGCAGCTGCACAGGATTAAGAAAACAAACATTATTATAATTCAAGTCTTTATCAACTTTATTATTTATTTAAAGGTATAGAGGACAATCTTTTATCTTCCGGGTGGATCTAGGGAATTTAACTCCCTAGATAATAATTGCACACATCAGTTTTTTGCATTTATCTCTGTTTAAAATTGATCCTCCTGCTCCACAGATTAATTACTTTCACCAATTTCCTCTGCTTTTCATAAGAAGGTCCAAATGCATTTGCTACTTCACAAAAAGGGTTGGATTTTTCACTCGGTACGCTTCCAGATGATTAATGCCGGTTAATTACTGGCTTACAATTTGTCAGACAAGGGGAATATAGTGGGAAAATAAATGAAAAAAGAAAATGTAGGAGAGCTCTCCACGCAAAGCATTATGGGATTTGCTGTCACAGATTTAAACATAAATCTTTTTGAGTTTTTTGTTATGGTTTCGTTTTAACCTTATGCTATATAGAGCATAATCTGAAGAAAGAAAAGACTAAAATCCAGATAAACACGGTTTGATCAGATTTTGCTGCTCTGAGCATGTCCCATGATGATGTCAGAGAAGCACTTTAACGAAGAAAATGTAAAAAATGTATAAAGCATCAAAATTGTCTCACAAAGTCATAAAATATTTTTTAAAGACATGTATTAGGATTCTTTAGTGAGTTAAGGATAGAAATAAGTCATTTTAGTACCATGATTAGATTATTTTTGGACACCTGGATGTATATCTGTTTACGCAGTACAGATCGCACTTCCAGGATGGATTGGGTAGTGACAAGCATAAAGCAGTGATCCTCTGTCTGTAAAGTCAAACTCTATATAATGATTGAGAGATTTAGGGGTTAGGACGGATGTTCAGGCACAAAAAGCTTGTATGAGCTACAAGAACAGCAACTTTTAAACAGCGAGGAAAAATAGACTCATCAATGCTCTCACGTGCGCATTTAAAAAAAAAAACATTCTTTTTAATTTGCGAAAATCCTCCACAATACTTTTAATGTTACGGATCAGAACTACAACTACCTGTTTCAGAACTACAACTCCCATATCAGAGCATCAAATATGGGAGATGTTACAGGGATATGTACCAAAGGCTTTTAAGGTTGCTGTAATTATAAACCTTTACCTAAGAAACCGTCTCTTGTCCCAGATGACTTGGTCAATTACAGACCTATATCCAAAATTCCTTTCTTATCTAAAATCGTTGAGAAAGTAGTTGCCAAACGTGTTTGACCACTTAGACCATAATGAACTTTTTGAAGAGTTTCAGTCTGGCTTTAGAGCTCATCATAGCACTGAAACAGCTCTGGTGAAAGTCACTAATGATGATACCCTCATGGCCTCAGATAATGGACTTATATCTGTGCTCGTCCTGTTGGATCTCAGTGCTGCATTTGATACAGTTGACCATAATATTCTTTTAGAAAGACTTGAATATTTTGTTGGAGTTAAAGGAACAGCGCTAGACTGGTTTAAATCTTATGTATCTGACCGACTTCAATTTTAAATCTTGCTCATGCTCCAGAGTTACCTGTGGTACTCCACAGGTAACTCTGGAGATGAGGGAACTGATAGAGCGAACAGATAGATGAATAGATAGAGGGAACACTCAAATAAAACAGCCTAGATCTGAATTAAATTAATAATTATCATTTGAATAATTTTGTTATGTACAAAACTGAAATTGCTGAAAGCAAAGTCACACAAAATTCATCCATCAACACATTTTTCTAACCAATGGAAAGGAATTGATATATGACATTTTAATTAACTACAACTTCCAATTCCAGTTAATGATCGATTCATAATCTGTTGGTAAAATTGAATTAGAATAATTTGAAAAAAAACACATGAACAAACTGTTGGGAACTTCTTTACTTGTAAAAGGAGAGGTTAGTTAAAAAGGCCAAACTGATGCTGACAGGTCCAGCCCCCCCCCCCACATGCAGGATGAATCTAAGCTGCTTCCATTCAGATGCAAACATCTGCTGCCAAGATTCAGGAATGAAAACCCCAAACATTTATTTATCTAATCAGTGATTCAATTTTTTTCAAGGTTTGTTGTTTTGCTCCAAGTATGTCTGTGTTTTCCTTTTCGCTGTGACATCATTTCCCACCTGGACATAATAAAGGTTCTTCATCTTGAACACATTGTTATATTATTAATTGATGTAGGAGCATTTCTGCATCGACAGACTGAAGCAGCTCCTCAGTCTACAGACGTTTACTGAGAGTCTTTAGCAGCTTACTTTGCCGGCGGTTGGATCATGAGACACCGGATCTAAGGCCATGTACTTCTTCTCCTTCACCACGCTCAGGACGTCATGGAGAACACACATCTCTGTCAGGGCGCCGCGCAGATTGTTCCGTACCGAGTCCCATGGCCAAAGAGACGGCTGGAACTTGACTGTTCCTGGAAAAAAGAAAGAAAAACAACATTCAGCTTTTTTTGGGAGCAACTTATATTCAGTTTGAGCTATGGGGTGAATTTTGTTCATTTATTGTTATCAGCAAAGAACACATTTTGTAAATTGAAATTTAAAAAGAAAGAAAAGTACAAAACACAAGTAAATTCCAAATTTTAAAAATCGAAATTTGAAAAGAATTTTAGAAATAAAACAGAAACACATTTTGATAAAAAAAAAAGCTTTTTAGAGAAATGTTGCAGTTTTCTCAGACTGGTTTTTTTTTTTTATTCTACATGCATTTATATGTTATTTTCTTTCTTTTTACATATTATTTTTTTCCTAATTTAATTTTTCATCTTTTACACATTTGATATTTTCACATTATTTTTCATTTCTGATTTCCAGATTGCGTTTTAAGAATTTGAGTCTTTTAAAGTTGCATTTTATAGATTCAATTCTCTTTGTTTAAGGTGGTCGGCTTTCCTCTGGACTGAGATAAAACACATATTTTTATTGGGCTGCACGAACGTTTGCAACAGTATTGCATTCTGTCAATGTGTGCGTCAATAGCGAGCCTCTCTGTTGGGATTAAGAAGAATATGATCTATGAAATACAATTTATAAAAATCAACCTGAAAAACAAAAATAAAATAAAAAATATACAAATCTGTGAAAAAAAAAAATGAAAGAATTGTACATAAAAACACATAAAATCTGAGAAAACGGCAAAATTACTTTCAAAAAAATCTTTTCAAAGGTTAATTTCTGGTAACAGATTTAAATGGGACGCTCGACATTCTGGCTGCTATAAAGTAAAAAAAACTTCTCCCGGTTCTGCTTTCTTACCCTCCTCCTCCTCCGCCTCCTGCTTGCCCCACTCTCTGTCTCTGGGCTCCCCCTCGCCCCCGTCGTCCTCAGAGTCGGAGCCCTGGCTGAAGTCGATCCTTTGGGCCAACTTCGTCAGGTTCTGGGACATGGAGAGGGGAGGGACGTACGTCTCTGTGCCATGGAAGTCCACTTCCTGCACCTGCTTCTCACAGGAAGACTCGATGCTGATCCTCACAGCTGGACCACCAGACATGACGAGACCGGGGCTGCAGAGAGAAAGAGGAAGGTTCAGACACCAAGTAATATTTGACCGTTTTTGGGCCCATTTTTGTTCTTATTGCAGGACCCAAAATCAAACCTGTATAACAGAGAAGGGACTAGGGAGAAATCCCAAAATCAGGGAGTCTCCTCTATGCCCCAATCCTTCACAGAATCTGAGGAGGGAGCTGAAACTTTAGACTGAAATAGGTTTCTATGTAGAGGAGGGACCTAGAATCCTTCCTGAGACCCCTTCCAGAACCACACATACAAAGTTTATACCTTTTTATTTCCTTGGTGGCAGCTAGTGATGGGTCCAGCAACCCCGATGCATCGGTGCATGCGTGGAGCCCATAGAGCAAAACACTGTATCGGTGCGCATGTTGTTTCAAGAAAGTCATGTCACCGATACAGGAGATGTTTCTAATTGACTGCCTCATTAAACTGTGTTTAAAAACGTATCTGTCAACATGATGCATCTGCTAAAAAAAAAAGTAATAGGAACATTTCAGCCGTTGCGTCTTTATTTTAATTTTTTTATTGTGTTAATACTTTTCCTCTCAGCTATCACTCAACTTATCTCAATTAAGTTATTTCAAATTGACTCTTAGTTTATTTAATATTTTTACTGTACTTATTTTAAAATTATGATTTAAAAACCTAGTCCACAAGCATCCTCATTCACATTTTCCCCTAAATTTTTACATTATTTATTGGCTGCATCTAAAAATATCAAATATATTTTCAATGTAAACATAGATATGAAATAATACAATATAACCTACAATAACGTAAATTAGAGAGACAGCAAGCTGCTGTTAAATTATATACTAGGTCATCTAATCAATTCAGTTTAGTCTGTGAAATAAGCTGCCTGTAGTGTCTTTAAATGTCCAGCAGGTGGCAGTATTCAGTGAGACGGGACCACGCAGCATCAAAACAATTTGGCAATGAAACGCTTCAAAATGCCTCATTAACCATCACTAGTGACAGCAGGTTGTTTCAAATGGCTCTATAAATATAGTTTAGGTGAGAAAATTTCCAAAGTTTTTTTTTTACCCCACCAAGTTCTAAAGATCAATGCCATTCTCTGAAAACCCGATTTTTTAGGTTTAATATCAAATATATCAGTTATATTCTGAACTTTGATCAATACTCTGTCTGAACACAACGAAAACGCATAAACAATAAGAGGTACATTTAAAAAAACGTTTCCAGTCATGCACTTTTAAAACTATTTGGAAGAAATAACGCATAAAATGTACAGCCTATGATCTAATCTACTAATTCAGACAAAGTGAAAAAAGAAACCTGTTAAAGAATCTATATTCTATTTAAAGCAATTACTTTCATTAAAACTCAATACAAACACTAGAATTCTCTCCTTTCATTGTCTTCCTGCATTGATATAGCAACATTAGCTCATTTTAGCTAATCCATCGCAATAAAATACTAAATGCCAGAACTCACAATTACAAATATAACCACGTCATATACGTTTTATTTGAGTAAAGCTTACCTGTTGATAAGAATAGACCAGAATATATGCGGATTAACGCTAAAATATGTCAGATTTTGAGCACTGTCTCTGGCTCATTCTTAGCCAAGAACGCAGGAACTACAGGGTCTGCACCATTTCACCGCCAGGGTAGTAGGTCGTCGTCTCTGCGCGGGAGGAAAACCGCCAAAATATCCGCCTAAAGACAACCACTCTATTATAGGACCCAACCTAAACATTAGAAGTTGTGTTCACGAAAGAATACCTGAAATGTTTATGCTATAAACGCCCATTAATGGCCATGCAGAAACCCGTTAGAAGTCTGTTCTTTTTAATTGAGTTGCAGACAGTGGCCAACTTTTCTGCCGGTGAAAGAAAAAAAAGCGGACCCGGTGTCACAGCATTACAGACCCCCTAGCGTTTTTCACAACTAAAATAAAAGCCCGCTTTCGATACTGGAGGCCAACTTTATTTGTGTTTCAAAATATATATGTCATATCAGGCTGTTATTATTTTAATGAAAATAAAAATAACAATATCCATCTACATTTGAAAGTTTTAGCAAGTAGGAACCAAATGGCGGTGGTACGGCGGTCAATTTAAACCACCCGGATATGACGTAGAAACAAAAAACGGTCGTGTTTGTTTCACGAGAAGGCGTTTTATCGATGATATTCCCAACAATGGCGCATTCTGCTGTTTCTTTCTGTTCTTTTTTAGTATGACTAAGCTTTTATTTCATATTTTAACGGACCGAGCGGGTCGGAATGGTTGAGTCGGCCCAAAACAAAGACAGTCTTATCTCCTAAAACGAATTAGCCCTGTTAACCGTCAGTGTCGGTTTTGGAAAAAAATGTCCGTTAGCACATCTGGGGGAAATGAAGCGGAAAGTGTCGAGATTGAGACTGAGTCCAAACGAAGAGGCTCGTATAATCCGAGAGGAACTTGAAAGGAGGAGAAAACTCCGAATACAACAGGTAATGGACTGGTTCTGAGAAGTTCATTAACGCTCTTCTGATCTATTGCCTCTTAAAGGAAGGCAATCATTTGGATTTTATAGAAAAAAAAAAAAAAAAGTAGAATCTATGAGTGGAAATGTTCCCTTTCTCTGATTGGTCTAATTTGGTTACAGTCAACTAACATTTTAGTTGTAACACAGTTATCTCAGACAAACTAAGTATTACGATGAGCACAGCTGGAAGCAATTGGCTGATTAAACAAATCCACTCAATGCATAAAGTTATCACCTTCCCTAATCCTGAACAAGAATAAGGTGACAGTAGGAAGGAACAGCCCCATTTAAATAATAAGGCAAACAAACCCAATAAGAACAGCAGGCTCTGGATCACACAGGGATGAGCATACTTTCTATTGGGTACACAAAAGGAAGTCATAGTGTTTGTATAAATTCATTAAGCGAGGATTAGTTTGTATTTTTGTTGAAGGTATAGCTCAGGAGATCCCAGTCACCTTTTCATAAAGTGAAGTAGATGAAGATATTCTCTCTCCAAGACAAAAGCAGGAGCTTCTACCTTTATTCCTGCAGCCTTGGGACTTCCTTAAGAAGGAGAAAACATAAATATGTTGTATAAAGATTTATAGAACCTATTGGTTCCAGTTTGGAACAGCCATTTCCCTCACAGTTGTTGAAAATAAGTGGCAGTGAATAAGGCGGTCTAATTTATGAGTTTGAGGAAATAAAAACTCTCAAATTTCAATTAAAATATAAATGATAACCTTTAAAGGTTTAGGATTAATCCTGTATTAGTGTTTTATGATTTATTGGGCTCTCAAACTTCCTCAGTTTGCTTAAGTTGGTTTGCTTCATTCAGAACTTGTTACAGAGCTGAGATTTTTGTGTTTCCACGCAGGTGCGGGAGCAGCAGAGGCAAATCGCGCTGCAGATCCGCCGGGAGGTGGAGCAAAGGCGGCAGCATGAGCTACGGCAACTGGAGGAGCAGCTGAGGGAGGACTGGGAGAGAAGGCAGAGGGAGAAGCTCCAAACGCTGCAGAGCTTGTATGAAGAGAGCCTCAAGCTTCTGGGTCAGAGCCACAGGAGTGCCAGAGAAAATGTGAGCGATGGCCGTTAGATGAGGCTCTGCAGGGTGAAACGTAGCAATGTTTTTTAAATGAACGTCATTTTCTATCATTGCTTCAGGAGCCTGATCCTGCGGCTGTTGCTCGGCAGGCGGAGGAGAACCATGCCAAAGCAGAGGAGCGGTACCGGGAAGCTCTGAAGGAGCTCAAATTCCATAAGATTAAAGAGCAGCAGAGACAACAACAGTAAGGAATATATGATTTTTTTTTTTTATAGGTATGGAGTTTAGAAGTAACTCTGTTTTAACGGCTCTCCTTTATTGTTAGATCCATCAATGCCAGGAGGAACGCGCTGCAGATAGAAAAGGAGCGCTCGGCTAAAGTGGCCAGCCTCCCACCGCCGCCTCCTAATCCCATCCAGGTGCTACGTCTGAATATTTGAACCACTTTCAGATTATTTTTCTGCTTTAAATGCAATGGTGTCAAAAGTACACACATTTGTTTCTTAAGTAGAAGTATAGATACTGCAGTTTAAAAACACTCTGGTAAAAGTTGAAGTATCAACTTGACCTCTTTACTCAAGTAAAAGTGAAAAAGTATTTGCTCCAAAAACTACTTAAAGTATAAAAGTATAAAGTAACCTTTAAAAAACATATGCCACTATATGAACTGAAAGCTAAATTTTTTGACTATTTTGAAAACTTCTTTGAGATAGGGCCAAGGATGAGGGAGGTCTTGTTGGTCTCCGTCTGCTGATACGCTCTTGCCTGTGTCCGACCTTTCTGACATTCCAACATCTTTTTCTGAATCCTACATTGTAGCATGACATAGACCATTCACGTTTGCAGTTTGAAGAACACCTGCTTGCTTCTGATGATTTCCTTTAGCTAACCAATGAGTGTTTGATTTATATGACTCATCCAATTACTCTAGTTTTCACTAGATGTGGATGGTGCCAATTATCTGCATTGGATGGCGCACATGACGTGAAATAAATATTTATAAACATTAAACCGAAGCCAGGAGTAACAAGTAATGTTTGTTTTACAAATGTAAGGAATAGAAAGTACAGATGCTTGTGTGAAAATGTAATGAGTAGAAGTCAGAAGTAGGAAGAAAAATAAGTAATGGAGTAAAGTATAGATACCTAAAAAGTGTACTTAAGTACAGTAACAAAGCATTTGTACTTTGTTACTTGACATCTCTGTTTAAATGCGAGCAGGTCTGACATCAGTCCATGTTTATCCGTTTCTTTGTTGGAGCAGCAGATCGATGCTAAGAAGCCACAGCTTGTAAAGAGATCAGATCTGAATGTCTTTGCTGCCACACGTTACCACATGCCTGAGACCGCCGTGGAGAAGGAGCCAGAGGCGGTGCAGGTACGCTCCCTGACCCCGTCTAAAGGAAGGCTTCAGCTTCTGCTGTCGCACATCATTCATACCTGGTTCTGTCTGCAGCCTGATGCCAGACAGGAAGCTGAGCTGGAAGCCAGGAGACTTCAGGACCTGCAGAGGGAGGATAAGAGGAGGAGAGAGGAGCAGCTGGAAAAGGCTCGTCTGAGGGGAATGGAGGCTCTGAGGAGGGAGAAGCTGGCTCAGGTACGCTTCACCTGACCAACAGAGCTGCTGACAGAGGCATCAGAAACCAGGCAGACTGAACTCTACAGCAGCAGTAAAAACAAACATTTGTGTTTTAATCAGAACTAAGCAGAAAGGTATCAGGTTTAAGATTCTTCAGTATTCTCCTTTTTCTTTCTGAGTAAATATGTTCTTACTTCAAAGAAACCATTTTTCCCCACCTTTGATCAGAACTTTCTTGGTGGATAAAACATTGTTTTTAGTCAAAGTGTCTGAAGCTGTGGATATTTTAAGGAAAATTTGATCTTTAATTCCTTGTATTTTATATTTGCACAGCCTCTAAAGTGAAGAGAAATCCCCCAGTAGATGCAAAAAAATGTTTTTTCTTTGATCTTCTGCTCTTTGGTTAGTTATGATGACTAGGCAATAGCTCCGTTTTATTCCAGCAGCCTGATTAGTAAACTGTAGTAATATTTGCTTGCATTGTATGTTTCATAATAATTAAAACCCCCCACAAATGATTGGTAAATCTTTAAATAATGTTGCCTAAATAAGGTAGATGTGAGGTTAAAGAGTCATTAGCTTATCTGAGGCCTTAGAAACTGAGGACAGGTTACAGAGTTTGAGTTTTCTCCCTCTTACATCTCTGCAGATTCAAAGCTTTTATTGCATCAAATTCAATTGAAGGACTTTGCCTGGGAGTTAAAGATTCTTCTTCTTGCTCTGACGTTGTTCCTACAGATGTTTCAGTTAGTTCTAAGCTGGACAAGGTTTAATCTCCCCACATCCTGTTCTCTTATCCAGAGATGTTCGCGTGTCTAACTGTTGATCAGATGCAGCTTATAACAAACAAGATGTTCTGTAGCTCCAGCCTTCAGTTCCTCATGTGTCGCCGATGGTTTGGTTCAGGACCGGGAGCGTTTGCTGGTTGAGCTGGAGCACATGCAGCAGACAGACCTGCTGAGGAGGAGGCAGCAGGCGGCTCAGATGCCACCGCAGATCTTTCAGCCTCTCAACCAGAGGCGGGAGATCAGGGAGGACTTCCAGAGGGAGATGGAGTTTGCCTTTGAGGACATGTACACCGGAGAGAGACGTAAGGCTGGTTACTGTTCGGCGGTGAGCTCTAATTATCGAACGCCTGTTTGCATCTCAGTCGTCTCTTTTTTTTCAGGGGTTAAAGGGGACCTGGTGGTCCAGTTGTTACCTGAACCTCTTCCAGCGTCATCCCCCAGCAGCCAGGACCAGGACCTGGATGTCACTTTGGATGAGAATGTGGAACCTCAAGCAGAAAACATTCAGAATGACTCTGAGGGTGGAGTCAGAAGCAGTGAGCAGGAGACGTCAGCTGAAGGTGAACGGAAGCACTAGATTAGACATTTCAGAGGTTTTTAGTGAATAAAAAGCAGAACTCTGAGCTGAAGCCTGCCGTCTGTCCCTGCAGTGGAAGCTGAAAAACCTCCTCCCAGACGGGCGCTGAGGAAACTCCTGGATCGGATCCGGAGCCAAAGGAACGACTGGATCAACAGCAACAGTCACAGTTCTGCAGAAGATTCACCCAGCTGCTTCA